CTTCCTTGACCATGGAATGCTGTTCCGGGAAGATGATCTGCTGGAAAGAGTTGGGGGTTCACCTGACCAAAAAGGGGAAGAGCATCTTTGTGCACCGACTCACTAACCTAGTTGAGGAGGGCTTTGAACTGGGTTCAGTAGGGACAGGTAACAAAAGCCCAACAGTAAGTATAAAAAAGGTGAACTTAACAGAGGGTTAAATATTGGTGGGGGAGCATGGAAAATTACACTAGGGTCATAGGAGTGACGAGGAAAATCGGTGGGGGAATCCATAGGCGCCGGTTTCCTCCGGGCCTGGGAGTGCTCAACCCCCCCGCTCCACTCCAGGACCTGGCCCCACCCCACCCCTTTTCCCCAGTTCCCACCACTGCCCCGCATCTTCCCGCCCCGCCTCTTACTGGCCTGCACTAAAGAGTTTGCAGCCTAAAACAATAGGATAAAGGATGGGGGGGAGAGAGAGAAGAGTGGTGAAGTAACTTGCCCAAGATCACACAAAAAGTCAGGGAATAGCTGGGAACAGAACAAAGGTCTGAATCCTAGTCCAGTAGCCTGTCCACTAGACCAGAGGTTCCCAAACTGTGGTACGTGTACCAGTGGTGGTATGTGAGCTTGATGTTCCATCCATTCACTTCCCAGCAAGTTAAGAAGGTGGTTCATCATGAGCTAATAAAGTTGCTTTACTAAACTGTGTACTAAGGAATTATTTGTTTTGTGTGGTCATTAAGTGATAAGTCATCATTCTGGAATAGGAACAGGGTGCACTTTTCACTACACAAATCTTACAGAACAAGAGGAGCTATCCCTTTAGAGTGGACCCACTACCTTGTTGCCTATGTTAGTCCTCCTTGTACAAAATCATATGTTGGTCATTGAGTGGGGGCAGGGTTGTCTTTTATTTCCATACTGCAAGTACTCAAGCTGTGTGGAGAAGAAGGGAGGAGCTGGTGTGCCCTCCTCCTTCCCAGCGTTGCCACCTTTCCAGTTGGCAATCAACCTGACCATGCTTCTGCCAACTGTTGTCTGCACCTCTTACCATTGCACCCATGGTTTTCAGAAAAATATTATAAATGAGTGTGTGTACGAGTTCTCTTGTGGTGTGTAAAGTATCATAAGGGCAATATGAAATGAATTTTGGCCTTGTAGAAGAATGTGAATATATTTTTGTCTCTTTTAAAAACCCTTTGGTTTCACCAACTGTCCTTTCCATGCTTGCAACCGGGAAGCAAGCTCTATCCCTTCTCATGAAGGAAATAAGGCAGCATGGGGAATAGAAAAATGGTTTCTGTGTGGGGAAATCCACTTGGTTTTAGTGAACCAAAACCCTGGAGTCAAAGATTCAGCAGGTAGGCCTAAGCATGTTCATTGTTTATACCACATAGTTGTTTCATTGACATGCCAACACTTCAGGTGACATGTATTGCATCCATCCCCCTCAAGGGGACCCCCTGTTGGCAGAACAGGATAGAAGCAGAGGGTGACTACTTTAGGATTGGATCCATGATCCTTTTCCCTCCCATTCCCCAAAGCATCAAGGGAGAGACAACCTCAACAATGGAGATACAGGGTCACGCTGTGGTTGCCTAACTGTTGCCGTCACTGATGTTCAGGACCATTTTATTTGCAAGTGGAGATGGATCTTGTAAAGAGCTCCACACAGAGAAGGAGCTTTGGGGAGTTATGGATGGTGGTATTTAGGAGGATACACTCTGGACCCCCATGTTTAGCACAGGGGGGTTGTTAAAGCTACCTTACTTTCTCTTTTTCTAATCCTTTTGGGCTTAACAATTTCCTCTTGTATCCCTATCTTTGACCTCTTCTTCATCCAGGAACCCACATTTTTCCTAGTTCTGCCTTTCCCCCCCGACTCTACCCTTCCACCCTTCTCTGGCCTGTGTTATACAAGAGGTCAGACTAGATGGTTCCTTCTGCCCTTGGAATCTGTGGAATCTATTAATCTGTCTTTCGCCTTTTTTGTTGCCATGAGTCTACCAATTCCCCCCCCCCCTTCCAATATCCTTTGCCATTCTTCAAGCTCTTCCTACTGTTGCTTCAGTTTCCTCCTGGTGCTCATCTTCAGTCACTTGGTTTCTTTTTGTTGCCCATGCTGGTGGATGGGTTTCCCAATATCCAATTCTCAGAGCCTCCAATCTGCCTCCTCTTTGTCCCTCCAGCATCGTTGGTGACCTGCTTCTATGTTATTGGAACCCAGTATGAGATCAGGGGCACCTGCTGGGAAGTTAGAAAGAGTGAGTGCCAATATGATCTGACAATAAACAGTGCCAGTAAAGCGTACCAGCTAATTCCAGCTGTGTACATTGAGATGACCCAATCCTTACTAATGAGGTGTTGCTGGTCTCTGAAATGGGATATTTAAAACCCTGCTGGAGCTGACTTGGCCCAGTACTACTCATGCTCTGCTCTTTGAATTGGTTCTGTAGCGAAGAAAGCGAACACTCTTGAGCTGGACTTCTCTTTTCTAAAAGAGACGGTACATTCTTTTTATTGTCTTACCTCAATTGTTTGGATCTAATCCAAAGATCCATTAAGTGTTTCAGTCCACAAAGGTCATCCTCTCAACACGGTAAATGTTTGTGTAGCTGTTGAACATAGAACATAAAAATTCTGGTGGCTAGACATGCAGTTTCTACAAGTACTTTAAGTACCTCACTAATTTGTTCTGGTGACTGGCAGACTACAGTATAAATCCCCAAAATTAATGAATTAATATAAGTGAACAAACACAATTTTAAAAAATAGAGAATAATCTTTGACAAACAGTACCCTGTGTGAACAAAGCTTTAGTTATACTGGACAAGCTTTAGATATACTTCATAGTAGGCTAGTAACAGTTCAGTAGGATTATTTTAGTAATAAGAAACCTCTGTACAACATTCATTGCATTTTTAAGAACTGGGAAGTGCTATTGTTTATGTTGTGAATCATGCATTGTGTGGATTAGCTGGATTTTCCAAAGGTACAGTAGAGGCAAAAGTTACTGTAGTTGTGAGTTTGCTCTAATTTTACATGTCCTCCTTCACACCACCTTTCCTTGTGTGAAGAAAATAGTTTGTGATCACGTAACTAAAAATGGTATAATGTACAAGTGTGCAGAATTAAGGTATATGGGCTACCTTAATTCTGGCACTTCCTAAATTTTGAGTAAATGATTCTTGCAACTTAACTTCCAATATAGTCTTTTTGCCTGGAACAGAATATGTTATATATACATATTTGATCCCTTAAACATCATGTAATATACTGTTCTGGGATTCTTTGGCTTCACTGATGTCTGAGAACAAATTGTTTAAACAAACATCTAATTCTTGTCTATGTGCGTAATTAATGTTATCTGAGCAGCCGGTAATCTATCTTTTGTATGTTAAAAATGGACAAGTCAATTTGGCATTGGGCTCAACTCTTTGAGATTGTTTCAAAATAAGTATCCCCACTCCCCGTTACCGTTTGAAACGGTTTATGAAGCAAAGGCTGAAAGCATATTCTACAATAAAATACAATGCTTCCGCTGCATTGTCTCAGACAGATGCAAGGAGGCTGAGTTCCTGTACTAGAAGAAACCTTGGAGTGCTAGCTGTTGGCCAAAATCACATAGCATTGAATCAATTCTATATACCGATCAATTAGAATTCTTTCACAGGGCAGCAAATTCAAGAAGTGCAACTCTGCTTTGACAATGAGGAGTCCTTGTGGCACCTTAGAGACTAACAAATTTATTTGGGCATAAGCTTTCATGGGCTAGAACCCACTTAATCAGATGCATGGAGTGGAAAATACCACAGAAGGGGTGTGTGTGTGTGTGTGTGTGTGTGTGTGTGTGTGTGTATAGAGAGAGAGAGAGTACATGAAAAGATGGGAGTTGCCTTACCAAGTTGGGGGTCAGTCTAACGAGACAATTCATTTAACAGTAGAATTCCAAGGGAGGAAAAATCACTTTTGTAGTGGTAATGAGGGTGGCCCATTTCAAACAGTTGACAAGAAGGTGTGAGTAACAGTAGGGGGGAATTAGTATGGTAAAATTAGGTTTTGTAATGACGGCTACCACTCTGAAACTCTGCTTTGGTTTGTTCAGTGAGTGTTCAAAACAAACCAGTGCAACAGGAATCTGCAAGATCAGCCTTGTGTTGACTGAGCCATTGTTTCCCCCTTTCTGGTGCCCTTTGGAAAAGGATTTGCATTTATCATCCAATGTTGTCATCAGAGTTGAATATACATTTTGTTTTATTGGCATGTTAAAAATGTATTCCTGTGCCTTTTTGTGTAGGAGTGTCGGCAGAGAGAACTGACTACAGTTAGCAACCACTTACCAAGGATTTTGTGTATGATTTAGCAAAATAATTTTACAGATAAGCTTAACTGATTTGATAAATTTCTTATTTCACAGAGTGAAATAAAATATAAAGATTAAAAATCTTTGCATTTTTAAAAGAGAGATTACTTATATAGTGCTTGTGTGTGTTTAATTATAACTGTTTTATTAAAATGTATGCTATGTAAAGCTATGCTGAAAACAACATACATTGGTTTACAAAGGAGCCCTTTCTTGACCATATTTTTTTTTTAAAGTAAAAAGGTTTTATCTCTTTCCAGCTGCTTGAACTAGTCACAACATAGACTTGTTTGGGGTTCATGGCCCCCAAATGTTTAGTGTAAAGCAGGGAACTTCTTACAAATATCTTCTATGACCCAAACTTTTACAGTGCTAGAATTAGATATTTCATATGCTTATAGTATTTGTTGCCCTAAAATCCATATGCTTTACAAAGGCTTACTTTGAGAAGAACATATACTGGTGTGCACTTCTTTCCATCCATATCAATAAATACATGTGGAAACTTTTTTCTGCTGGCTGAGCAAGATCTGTAATGGGGACTATGAGTTAAGCAATAAAAATAAAGCTTGGGGACAACAAAGGGTCTGACTTGATAGGAGTAATACTAGTGCAGTCCTGCTCACTTGTTTAATTTTTCCCCCTGTTCTTACAGCTGAAGGCCTCCCCCAGGTGTATTACTTTGGGCCATGTGGAAAGTACAATGCCATGGTACTTGAACTACTTGGTCCTAGCTTGGAAGATTTGTTTGACCTCTGTGATAGAACTTTCACTTTGAAGACGGTATTAATGATAGCCATCCAGCTGGTGAGTAGTGACATTGCTGGCAGGGCCTCTGCCACCTTCTTTGAACTATTGCAATTTGTGTTATAACCAACAATATCTTAACTATTGATGGGTAAAATTAATAGCCATTGGCCTGTCAGCCCTTGCTGTAATACTCTCTTGAAGGATTTATTATTCAGACATAACAGTCTGAATGGGGTACAGACTCTCTAGATATGGGAGAAAATTACTACTTCCTCCAAATTTGAATAAAATTCTTATTTAGGAGGGAGGGGTGGTTAGTTCTCTGCTCTCCGCACTCTGTACTAAGCTCTGATTAGTCTTTAATCACTTTCTGGATCATTAATATGAACGGATATTGCCACTCCTTAAGTACAATTGGTCAGAGGGTCATTGAATACCTAGTCCTCAGCTGAGCAGATTGTGTCTTTGCTGTCCCGAGCATCAAGAGTAAATCAGAATGGGGAATTCTGTAAGGTTCCAGGATGTACTTGAAGGAAATATTCCTTTAGCAAGAAAAAGTCAAGCTGTAACTATCCTATTAAACCACTTAATGACTTGTTAGCTGTGGAGTAAGTTCATATTAACACTGAATTACTCCATGCATTTAACTGTAACTATGGTGCCTTGAAACATTATAGCATGACATGAAACAAATGCAGGGAAACATACACTGTATTAAAGTAACACTAGTCCTCACTAAGTGACGTAAATGGTGGAGTTCAGAATCCAGGCAGTTGGTAACTCACAACCACACCACCTCCCTGGTGATCAGTGTATGTGTACTTCAATACTTGGGCATGACAAAGTGAGACAGGTTCAGTGACAGGTTTTAATTTTGATTTCCTTGTTTATGTTATGCTTTACAGTGAATCTGAATTAGAACACTATTTTAATTCTTATCCTGACCCAGCCATTGACTTGCTGTATGGGAACATCGCTTTGCCTGTTTGTGACTGTTTTCCTTCCCACCCCGTGTCTTGTCTGTTTACATTGTAAGCTCTTCAGGGTAGGGGGAACTGTTTCCTTCTATGTGTTTGTACAATGCCTCAGACAATGGGGCCCAGATCTCAGTTGGGCCCTCTTGATGCTACTGTAATAACAATACGTAAAAATAATAATGTAGCTGTTCTCTATATTGTGTCTGAGAAGTGCACTGTCAGTTCAGATCTTTAAATTAACTATCCGAGGGAGTGGAGGAATGAAAGATCACTTGGGCCCAGTGCACTACCATAGTAACTATAATCATGGCTGAACTTATCAGATCCATTCTTGTTTGTATAGCACAAATAGGTTACGGCTGTGAAAGAGAACCTAGCAGTTTGGCCATAGCACCATCTACATTACAAATGATAGCACCATTTTCTTTAGGAGAGTCTGGTCCCTTTTCTCCTGAGCTATGTTTCTTTTTCCAATTTCACCCGCTGTTCTCAGCAGTTTGATCTGCAGGGTTGGCCTGAGAGTCCAAGATCAGCCCAGATGGTTCCTGTAATGGCCCTCCTTACCCTGCACTCTCATCTAGGATCAGCAGGACTAATCACTGTGACCGACACATCTCAGGCTCTTCGGTGCATGTGCAGCAAGTTACAAACTGGCAGAAAGCCGCAGCATCTTGTTTTTCATGCCAAGTGGTCAACTTCATACTTCCTATGACATATTTAAAAATAAATCTGTTCTATGAATAAATATGAAGAGCTAAGTAAACGGCTAAGAAACAGCTAGGGGCTAGAATGGGGGGGGCTTAGATTTATAGATATGTGAAGGGAGTAAACAACCAGAAGGGAGAGGAATCAGTTATTCAAGGAATGTAATTAGGAGTAATGGGAGAAATTACAAAGTAAGTGTTAAGCTCTATATCAGGAAAATCTTCCTGGCAATGAGGCCTATTAAATTGTGGTATAGTATCTCTAGGGAAGAGATGAAACCCTCTTGTTTAGAACGTTTAAAATTAGACTACACGATAGGATATAATCCTGCCTTGGCAGGAAGATGAACTAAGTGGGTCTTAATGTCTTTGCCATCTCCAATTTACACTCAAATACAATTAGATGGAATCTTAAGGGCTTTTTTTCTTACTATAATACACCTGTATTTCACATACACCTCTACCTCGATATAACGCTGTCCTTGGGAGCCAAAAAATCTTACCGCGTTCTAGGTGAAACCGCGTTATAGCGAACTTGCTTTGATCCGCCGGAGTGCGCAGCCCCGCCCCCCCGGAACACTGCTTTACCGCGTTATATCAGAATTCGTGTTATATCAGGGTAGAGGTGTACCTTAAAGATAGTGTAATAAATGTGTGTGTTGAAGCAGTTTTCTCTCTTTCTTCCCTATTGAGAATTTTATGGGTATATTAATCCTGAATAACTCATTCATCTTTGCTGCTTTATATTGTCCCCTTAATAATATCAAGCTGACATAACTTTCTCCTGGCCACAGCTGCAACAGAATCCCACGATAATTTACTTCAAGGAAACAACATTCCTGAAGTGAGACAAAGTTTTAAAGTTTAAAATGGCTTCTTAAGTATTGCCAGTCCCAAAATTCACAAACCATGAGTCAGACCCCAACAGATTGCGATTATTTAAAATGATCAGATCATGCTTTTTGTCTGTATTCTGATTTTTGAACTCCCCTGCCCACCCCCAAGGTATGTGACTACAGCATTGTCAAACTATCAAATTAATCATGAGTATTGTGATTTTAGTCTTTGTTGTAAACATTCTTGCTAGAGAAGCCAACCAAGATCAGGTCCCCATTGTGTTGAGTACTGGACAAAGAGGAGACAGTCCCTGCCTCAGAGATTACAATCTAATGCAAATCATAGTGGTGAGATTGTGATACGGAAATGTGACCTGTACCCACTGAACCCATTTCATATAGGGGTCACCAAACATCCAACACATAGGAACGGCTTTTCATGCCTGTTGAGCTGATCTGGATTCAAATAGGTGAGCTACAAATCAGACTCTGTACTTCATTAGCAATGCCCTGAGGCATATCATCCCCCATAAACACTAATTATACACCTTTGAGAATGGGGATTACTTTCTAGAAGGTAAAGCTTACTAAATCAAACCGTGATCTTTTGCCGCTTACACAGGCACGGTCTTCCATTCTCTGGACACAAGAGCAAAATCTCCCACATGTTGCTGTCACTCTCACTAGAGTAAAGTGCCCCATCCAGTTCTTAAAGGGACAGCTCCTATTAACCAAAATACAAATGCTAAACATACAATAAAACAGATTTAACACAACTTCCAAATTCACTTCTAAATACAATGCTTTGTGATCTAAAATGATTCCAACAATTACTTCTGGATGCTAGCACTAATGCTTACACATACATACATACTTTTTTTTTTTTTTTTTTTTTTTGGCGTCCAGAAGTCATCAGCACATTGAATTCAGAACCTTCATATCTTCACAGGTCTCTTCTGCTTCAGCTATAAATACATGGGTATAGCTATACTGGATTAGATCCAAGGTCCATATGTCCAGTATCCTGGAACATATAGAAGTAACAGGTGGGGGAAACATGCTGTTTTCTCTGTATGGACCAGCCCATACAGGGGGAGACAACATACACTTGGCTGGAGGGTTACACAACTATTAGTGAGGTGGTAGTAGAATGCTGGACATCCTATAAAGGATAACTACTGTGTTAATTAAAAACCCTGTGATTTGGAAAATCTGCATTGGCTTATGTGGACTAGATAATTTTGTTGCAATAACTGTCTTTTGGCATGGTGTAGAAGTGGAGAGTGGATGATAGCTGAACATGGAGCCTTTCAGTTTATAGAACTAAAGAATTGGAAATATAAAAGAAATTCTACTGCTTTTTCTATCTTCCCTCCCTGGCACTTCATGGGCTCTGGATGTAAAGGAGCCAGATCAGTGTTTTACAATGCTCCTAGAATGCATTAATTCAGTGACTACATAATCTAAAATATGTTTGATCTTTCCAAACTCCCACTTTGTCCCCACCTACTCATCTTGCTGTGAAAGTACTTTTTAAAAAATAAATTAAACAAGGTAGTGCTGGTTTTAATTTGAGCATTTTTTTTATTTTTTATTTTTTTTTAAGTTGACCATCCCAATAAATGACCTATCCTGGTAGTAAAGACAAAATCAAGCAAAGTACTCATACTGCATTTTAAATCTTACTTTGTATGGAGGGTTAGCCAGCCCTCCAGCCCCTTTTAAAGGGACACTTTTCCAGGTTGAATTTATTACAAACATACCTTTTGATCTTCAAACCTACCAGTGTGTGAAACAAACAATTGAGATGTGTGACAAATGGCTGAAATGTGGAACATCTGTTGTGTTATGCGTCATGCCATAATTATTTTATAATGGTTGTTAACTATAAAACCTGATTTAAAAGATTTTTTTCTGTGTGTATATTAAATTACTTTTTGAAAGAAAACTGAAAAAAGTTTCAGCATGTAGAAACTGATTCTTTGCATGGCGTCTGCATATTGCCATTTATGAGATCAAGGCACTCATGCTGGGAGCTCCTAGAATCGTCTGGAAAACAGTGTCTTTTGGGTCCACTTGCCTATCCTTCCCCCTTTTATCCTGGATGGCTCCGAGAATATAAAACAAGGAGTGGCCCAACCACCCTTCAGTTCCTTCTAACTTCTGAAGGTCCAGTGAGTTTAGATTGCACACACTGTCCTCAGTGCTTTCCTCATTAGTTTTTCTTATTTCTATTTCTTCTCTTTTGGGGCAAATTTTGTTTATAACTTAATAATTTTTTTCAGTCACATTTTTCTTCTAAAAGTAAAGAGGAGGAGATGCCCGACAGGCCTGGGCTTTGTCTGCACTTAGGAATGGGAGGGCTGCCTCAGGCCCCCCTTACTGATGGAGGAGTCTCCCTGGGCCTGGTCAACTAAGTCTGGCAGTCTGTAAATAGAGATTGGTGTAGGGATCTGGTCACAGTCAAGGTCCCCTGGTCTGTTCAAGGTGACCTAGGAGACTTAGGTATGTGCCTAAACCATCTCTCTGGACATTGGATC